TTGATGACAGGCGCTGAAGATATAAAACAAGCTTATGAAATTTATAAAGGAGTTAAGAACACATTAGCCAATGGTGGCTTTGAATTACAAAAATGGAAGAGTAATAGTGCAGAACTAATTTATAATATAATGGAAGGGGAAAGGGTCTCGAGTGAAAAGTTAAATATTAAAATAGATAATATAACTAAAATATTAGGACTCACCTGGGATTCAAGTGCAGACGTCTTTCAATACTCCGTCAAACTTACGGCAGCTATAGAACCTGTAACAAATATAAAAGTTATTTCTGACATAAGTAGGCTACTTGATGCGATGGATTGGCTTACTCTCTCTATTATATTAGCAAAATGTATAACTCAGAAGCTATCGTTAGCAGGTATTGACTGGGATCATCCAATATTAAACAATTTATTGAAAGAATGGTTTACTTACCGTAGTAATGTCGCAGCGTTAGCATACATCATAATCACATGTTGTTTGAATTTAAAAGCTAATGATGTGAAGGTTCAGTTTCACAGTTTGTCCGATGCGACAATGTTGGTTTATGTACCAGCAGTTTATAGGAGATGTATAAAGAACAGTTTTAGAACTTACATATCCACCGTAGAAATTAAAAAAAGGTTGAAGAACAAAGGAAATAAATGTGACATAATAAAATGGTTGGTATGGGATTTCCTGTTAAATTTATGTATATTGTTTGAAGTGGCAATAATACAGATAAAGAATAGAAGATTTCGGCTACGATGGTCGCAAAATTATTTACATCAATTTTTTGTGACAACTTTAACAAGTATAGTTTTACTAAAAGAGGACTTTTTGCTGCCTGGTAAATGGTTGTTAGGTAGAATTGAACAGAAGCATCCCGGTCCCGATACAATAACGCGAGTTGTTACTATTCGCACTAAGAACTCCTTAATTAAAAGACCTGTATCGAAAGTGTGTGTGCTTCCATTAGCTTAAATTATAGTTAATAAGATGTTTTATCGTTTTTGTTGTTACATAAAAGAATGTACTTTTGTTTTGTGTTTTATAGTTCGTTTAGGTATTATAATATATTTGTTGTTCTATTCTACATTAAATAAGGAATTTATTATTTATAATAAAATTAAAAACAGCAGTTAATGTTATGTAGGTAGTATAAATTGGTTTGTTTTCCATTACCCTAATTTAAGGACATTTGGCAGTATGTCCTTGGTGGGCGGTATGTTCATGTCCTACATAAATAAAATATAAATGGATAAAAAATGTATTCAATAATAATAAATAATAAATAGAATTACATATACGATAACAATATAAGATAATTAATACATAAATATTCATAGATACATTAATTCCAATTTTGCATAACAGATGTCGCACTGCCATTTTGAATCGCGATATGATTATTTTATTGAGGATTTATACGTATTTATACGTTTGTGATTGATAAGATAAGGCTTTTGACTGTTACCACAAAATAAATGGTACACGAAACTTCAGTCTTTCAATGAACCCTCGCTCTAGACTACGACTTGTTCAGGCTAAAAAGTAGACGTCAAATTAGTAAGATGAAACGAAATATACCCATAACATCGATAAGATGTCGTATATCCTATGGCTAGAAAGTTAGGCGATCGCTCTGCTAGAAATTTTTTGCCTTTGAAGAAGAACGAGCGGGAAATTCACCAGCTCTAATGGAAGTAACGACATTCACAGAAACTATATCATTAGCTGATCAAATATATTATAAATATATAATGTCACTTCATATTACAATATTAACATAATAGAAAAAAAAAAACATTTTACAATAATAACATAATATCTATCTGATTGCTGGAATATCTTAAGTACAAGCATTCTTATCTGTTATTATACAATAAGCTTTTTTAATAAGTATTTTAATTGTTGATTTAATCTTATATCTTTTGTTGTATTTGTTTAGGACCTTATTGTAGAAGTCATGAAAATTTATAAAAAGTTTTTTTTTAAAACAAGCTTTTACTTGGCCAACTTAAACGTAAATAAATCAATTCTAAACATTTAAAATACTTATATTTAAAATTTCTCTAACAGTAACTGATTTAAAAATCTTGTAGCGCTAATGAAATCGGTGACGAGAAAATACACATAGTTTTTACGTGCTGTAAACTTTTCAAGTCAATTATTTTATTATACTAATAAACAATGTTTTTAAATAATTTTTCATACTTTTTAGTTTTTAGTTTATCGTTGTTCTTATAAAGACGGATCTAAACAGTCGAAACACGATGCAGTCGCGTTATTTCATTGCTAACCAGGGCTTGAAACCGGTTCAGAATAAACCGTTTTTTTTAGGTAAAATCTGTCCTCTTATAATGTTTCGCTCCGGATCGGAACTAAATGCGGAGTGAAATTCGGATGGAATAAAAACCGGTTAGTTCGCTTAGTTCGTAAAAAGTAATGTGCTTACGCTTTTAATGCGAATTATATCATTTCTAAGCGACGACATTTATCATACCTATGTACGGTTGTTATAGATAGGAGTACAGGCACTTAAGAAGAAGAAGTTTGTGAGATCATTGTCTGGAGTCATATTTAAACCGGTTAATGAAGAAAACCGTATTTCTAGTGAACCGGTTTAAAAACCTGTTCAAAGGAGCTGAACCTTTTATGTAAAGTTCCGCATGTACTTACGTCGAACCGGTTCAAAAAAAGTTTCCAAGACCTGTTGCTAACTTCCTATGACCACCTCCCAGCTCCATCATCATATAAGCTTACTGACATCATAATATTGCATTATCATCTGATTTATATGTCTATTAGATTGTATGAACCGAGTATTAATATGATAGATCGATACCCGGGTCATACAATTTAATATAATGCAACGGGAAACTTTAAAAGTTTACCTTTCTATACTAAATTTCAAATATATCGGACATTGGGAACTGGGTCAAAATTAATTACTTAACAAGATAAATAAAAGCTTATAAAATACTTACCAAAATCCAAATAAATGTTTGTTTATCAAAGCATATAAATTTGAACAGTTGGAGTGGAGCCTTAAAAGTTTTTGTAGCTGCTAACTGTCTTGCCATAGGATACTATATCTTCGCGATGTTATAATAATAAACTTTATTTCAGAGATATGACTCCATAGCAAATGTTAGTAACTATAGAACCATAATTTAATATGAGTAAATAAAGAGACAGCAATACACTTAAAAACTAGTATGCATCTGCATCCAGCATATCAATATGGGGCTGTCCCATTCATCTGCAACCAAGCTCAGAATGCTGTTCGGACTATTGCGTATCCTGTCCATCCTGTCCAGAAGTGATGAGGAACGTTTATGTATGATGGAATAATGATGTTTCGTTTCGTTATACTACTTGGACATGGCTTTTTGGAGGAGATACGACTGAGTTGGTATCATAACTGTCAAATCCATAATAATATTTTTTGTCTTTGTCATTAAAGTACATATCAAATTCAAATGTCAAAGTAATAAAATTAAATCCATGAATACCGTTATCGTAACAAATCCAGAATTTGACATTTTTTTGAGTTCATTGTCCCCTTCACGCGAATTATTATAAAGGATCCAGTTTTGCGTACTATCCATTTTAAAGGTCGACGTCCTATGACTTGTCAGTAAAAATCCAACAGCGTATCTGGACTGAGAATAACATTCAGAGATTTTTCATAGCATAAGATAATAATAACTATTCTTTTGCAGAAACAAGAACTTTACTTTTAATCTTTTCCGACTGCATTTTAATAAAGGCGATTATAATTTTTCGATAACATGCTACTACGGAATGACGTAAAAATCCACTTGTTGGGTTTCCATTTTATTGAAGACTACTCTTTTTCCGCGACTTCGCCTGCGTAAATTATAACATATATCACAACGTATGATGTAGCTATACATTGGTGAAAGAATTTTTAAAATAAGTCCTGTAGTTATGGAACTTATTCGATACAAATATACACACAAACAATCAAATCTTTCATCTTTATAATATTAGTATAGATAAAAAAAAAAGTAGTATTATTTCTCTCTTTTTAGTTGTTTCTGTATATTACGATTTTTTAAAGCCGATTTTTTCTATTAGTTGCTTCTTTCTTTTTTTAAATAATAAAAGTTATCACCGAACCATATTATCTATTTACTTTTAACTTATGATAAGAGGACACCTCCATCTTTATTTAAACTTACTTATACTTAATGAATTAATATTTTCTGCTAGGGTCGCAGTTCTAACCTAACCTAACACACTATTCTGGTAAAAGTTAGTTAGTAAATAAGCCCTAAGTTGATAAATAATTTATTAAACAAAAAGACAGCAATTGCAATCCGATGTCTAATTTACGAGAAATGACCTCCTTTTTTGAAGTCTATTATAACCGCGTGGCCTATTCTACAACTAGATAGATAGATAATTTTGTTAAAATCATACCCGTGAAGATTCTAACATCATATATTATAAAATAATACGTTTCTTTGGAGTCACTACGTCATTTCGTAAATAGAAGAAAATTCGTTTTTTTTTTTTACTTTTATAGAATTGAGACCATTAAAAAAATCCTCGGATCATAGACCAACGCGATGATATCGGTCAAGATGAATAAGCTCTCCAATGAAACTATTCAACTGGCACTTTATAAAAACTACTTCTTTGGAGTATAATATTAAAAAAAAAACCTAAATGCTTTTAAGGTTTATTACTGTTTGTTAATTTATACACTAGAGCTACTAAAATCGAAATTAAGTAGATCACTAATACATATTTGTATATCGCTATAATTTTGTTTGCGTATATTCCGATCTATAAACAATTTGCCCTAAAAAAGACAAAATGGATCGTACACAAAGGCAAGCATTGATAACGACTTAGAACAACACATCAACAAATACATCAGTCTTATCGGCTGTCCATCCAGTCGTACCGTGAACGCGTTGACAGCCGTGCGTCTGCCGCGTAAAAATTGGCGCGAACTCAAATAATCTATGGTTTATTAAAAAATAAAAATGGATCACGAACACAGGAATTTGGAGAATACATCCTCGACCACCCTTATGTTGCCGAAAGGGAGTGGTGAAGAAAAAGTTGTTATACTGACGCCGAACAGCAATGGTGTAGGGAAGATACTGATAAGGGAGGACACTATATTAGCTAATCTCCAGGGCTGTGCTGGATGTGGAAAGGCGAAGTTCACATGTTCGGGTGTGAAGAATCAGTGGTCTGTGCTGTGCTGGGGACGGCAATCGGATAAAAAATATTATACATGTGAGATTAAGATTATTTTATTTTTATTTTTAAGGGTCTAAAATTATATTATTTTTATTTTTAAAGATGTCTAGAAAAATAAATTTAAAGTAATTATAATTCGGCAATAAACTTAATTGTCTGTTATGATTTCACATTTAAGCTGCTGAAAAACGATTTAAATGGGTATGACACATATGGGATGTAGAAATATCCATAACTAAAAATCTTTTGATTTATTTCAGTGAGAAGCACTTTTTTATTCATTTGATATTTTTAATTATTCTTACTTAATAAATTCTATAAAAAGTTGTAAAATTTAAACGTAATATTTTGATTTTTGCCTCACGACAAAATTATTAAAATTCACATTTTAACTGTGACATGACATGACCCATAGAAATATGATGTAGTTGTCTCAATTACAGCTTATTTGGATTTCAGTTTATTTCAATTTTATTATTTTGCTCTATTTTCTTAGAATTTATAACAATTTTTATATAACAGAAACAATACATTCCTTTGACTAATTAACATATATAAGTGAATTCGTTGATTGCAGTCACAACATTTTTGATATTACTTCTAAACAAAATTAAATAAACAAAATAATATTAACTATTTTCATAATTTCATTATATAAGACCACCTGTTTCCCTTGAAGATCTATAAATTATCACGTATATTACCACATGTCTTCCGCATTATGATATAGCTGAACGTAGGTGAAAAAAAAACTAAAATTGGTTCACTTGTTTCTCTTGTTCTGTTCTCTTTATAAATTTATTTACCTAATAGATAATAAACGATTAGAACAAAAAATATGAAAAGCGACAAATCTGAAACTGTATGTATGTATGGAATAAAACATGTAGATACCTATTCTGACTTTAAATCATAATAGGGATGTCGACGATCAGATAATAGAAAAATATTAGATACGTATTTATTTGTTTCAATTTAAACAAGAAATGGCTTAGATAATATGCATTAAAGTTGAGGAGTGGGTGTCGCTACGTCACACATTGTAGAAAATATACAAAAAAGTGACGCCATGACCTAAAATAGGAAAGGCCAAAAGTTTAATCATAAAAATCATAATTTTCTAGACAATTATAAGAAAGATGCCGGGGTAAAAAAAAGAACGTGTATTTAATCTATCAGTTAGATAATATAAAAATATTAGATATATATTTTTTATATTAAATACATTTAAAAATATTAGATACATTTATTTAATAAATGGCTGAGATAACATAATTGGCATATTAAAGCCATAGTATAAAACAAAGTCGCTTTCTTTTTCCCTATATCTATATCTATATATCGCACTCCCGGTGCGACACTGTCACTTATGCAAAAAATTAGTTTTTCAGGAGAAGAGTTTTAAACTCTGCCACCTCACAAAACAATGACTTTAGAAGATACAGATGAGATGAATCATACGGAACATAGTTCCGTAGTCATAGTCCCTACAAAAGGAGCATTATCGCATCAAGTAAAGGGGGCTTTAGGACAATTATTACATATTTAACTAATTTTTGTATTTTTTGCAAAAGTGACAGTGTCGCAGGGGGGGTGCGATATGTATGCTTAAATCTTTAAAACTACGCAACGGATTTTGATGCGGTTTTTGTTTTCATGGATAGGGTGATTCATAAGGAAGATTTTTATGTATAATACAAACCACGCGGGCAAAGCCGCTGGCAGAAAGCTAGTGACAACTATATAAAAAATGCACAAAGGTGTGACGTTTACCATTTCAACTCAATATTATCGCCATAATTTATTGTTTATACAAAAATAAAAAAAAATATGTGTTTAATATACTTTAAAATATCCAACAGGCAAAACAAAAATTTGCCATTATCCCTATTCTATTTTTTTTTTTTGCTCTGTTATCCTAATAAAATCTAAAGACAAAAGCCGAAAGATAAAATCAATATGGCAAAAACGTGCAAAAAAGTCTCACAGTATCTCCAAACCAAACTTCATATCCGTTTAGAAGCGGAAGGTATGACATTACTTTTGCATCTATAATATTAAAAAGGATCCAGATAAAACCGTAGTCGCTCACTAGTATTCAAATGATATGAAGATACACGTTTAAGTAGTTAAATAGTTCTTGGCATGACCTTAGTTCATACATATATTGAACTCACGATGACTAGTCGCTTAGTCGACTAATTAAGAGTCTTATGCTAGCTACTGACAGATAGACGCTCTCTCGTGATATTAAACAATTACATCAATCATACCAAGTAATAAGAGCAGCCATACTATGGATGTATTGTTATATGTACAATCAAAAGCACATCACGCTAAACAAAACTGTCGAATTTCTCCATTATATTGAGAATAGAATACAAAAACAATAGGGATGATGACTAATTTTTGTTTCTTTGTCCGTCAGGCAGAGTGTTAAAAAATATTAAACACATATTTTTTATTTTTTTCGTAATCATAAAATTACGGCGTTACATGGAGTTGAAATTTCGCATGACGTCACGTTAGGGTACGTTTTCTACTCAACTGTGACGTAGCGAGCCCCCACTCCTCAACTTTATTGCCTGTTATCTAAGCTATTTCTTGTTAAATTGAAGTAAAAAAAATACGTATCTAATATTTTTCTATTATCTGACTGACGGACTAAATAGAATTGCATTTTTTTTTACCCAGTCATCATCCCTATTGCGGAAATTTTACTTATTGTTACCACAATAACAATAACTTAGTTGTAAGCGAAAATGAGAAACTGCATCATTTTTTAGATGTTAATATATTAATTTAGACAAATAACAATCTCATCATATTAAGCATATTTCTTGAATGTCAATAGAGTATTGTGACTTGGTCAATATTGATTTATAAACTTTTCTCAGTTGGAAAAATTTACAATGTTCTCTCTAAAATTTATGCTATCTAGATATCTAGGTCTATAAGATGTCTTTTTTATCTTTAATTAAAATTCGCATATTTATGCGAATTACTTTGTAGTCGAGGTTCGATTTGAGAGGCCCGCGATCGTAGTGACTCAGCAACTTTCTTAAGTGTCGGTCAAGGAATGGGTGACCGAAAAAATATTATCTTGAGCTGCTCTTAAGCCGTTAGTATCAGCTGACATAATCCTCCTTGAGGGCCTGGCGTAGGGACTTAAAAAAGCTAATTTTGATGATTGATAAAAAAAAATCCTTTTGCTCAATTTATCAACTACTAACTATCGCTAACGACTGTGTTCAATGAGATAGATAGGGACAGCCTTTTACTGCCGTAGTTTTCAGCGTCTACGTCGTGGTGGGAGCAGGATCGTGGTCGAATTCATGCTTATTAATTAACTGTCCCGGACTTGCTCGATAGATAGATAGATCTTAAGGTTTGGGCTACGGAGTGACCAAGGTAAAGTTACAATATCGACCTAATTGAGGTAACCAATCTGGCGATGTCATTTTCTTCAAATCACTACCCAACCTTGATAACCAGTTGTTTTGAATATTGCATGATATAAAAAGCAATTTTTTGCCGTTAGTTTTTTTTTAATAACTAACTAATAAATGAAACGTGATATCCATTTTAGTTATTAATTATAATTTAATATACATAATTATAAAAGTTAACCGAGACATACTTATTAGTCGGTACGTTTGTCAAACTTAGTTAGTCAAACTGGGTCACTATTTTTGCACTTTCATACATGAAAGAAAACCGGAAGGGTTGACATGGAGAAATCAAGAAAGTACCGTAGCGACATCTAGTTTGATTTCGGAAACTATTTTTTTTTATACTTCCTCATTGCAACTGTGATGTTTCTTTAAATATTTTGAACGATCTTAAACGCTACCTCTGGTATGGAAGTTAGTTGACAACCCTAACAATTAGCAACGTTCTGTGAAATCAGAACTCAAACATATGATTTGAAAAGCGGGTTTTGAATAACCAGCTGTCAATTGGAATTACCGTCTTCATAGTCGATGTTGGCAGAGTGGTTAATTTGTAATTTTTTTTTCATAATGGGATTCCCATATTTTCTTAAATCTAAGAAATATCTTTTATCTTTTGCCGGTAATTATTTATTTAGTGGTGGTAGATCGTGATCTTGGAAGGCGTAAAAAGCTAACCGAGTGCGAAACGGCCGCGCACGCAAAGGGTTCCGTAAAATTATTTATAATTATACGTATAAAAATCAAACTTGTTGTAAGTATGGGAGCCCGTCTTAAATATTTATTTTAATTTGGTTTTAGTATATGATGTAATCGGCAACAGGCTTACATAATCTATGAATTTCAACTGTTTGAAAAACATTGTTCATGAAATACAGCTTGGTGACAGACAGACGGAATTCTTAGTCATATTTTTTTACCCTTTAGGTAAGGGACCCTAAAACAGCGTAAAAAAAAAAAGTTAATAACATCTTTAATAATAACCGTGCCTAAACCAAATAAATACACACTATATACAAATTTTGTATGAAATAGCAGTCCTGCTTCCTGGCTACATGTCTAGCCCATTGCCATTTCAACTTTGCTATAATTATGTATGTTAAATAACAATCAATAATTAAATTGGATGATATCACGCTTATTTTTTTTAGTCATAATTATTTAAAAAAAAAACCTGAGTGTAAAAAAATGCGTTTTACGTCATGTGCAATATTCAAAACGACTGGTTATCAAGGTCGATGGGTAGTGACCTAGGTAAGTATTTCTTACGAAGCATCGTTCTCGTCGACGATATGGATTGCATAAACATATCTCCCGATAGGCGCAAGATTTCAAACAAGACAATGTTAGGCAATATACTCAATTTTTTGGCGAAAATTTACATCGCCGGAATCGTGATTGTAACTTTCCCGCGGTCACTCCGGAGCCCAAACCTTAACTCTATCGAGCAAGTCTGGGACAGTTAATTATTAAGGATGAATTAGAGCACTGTAACGTCCGAGCACATTACTGTAGGTAGGGTTTACTCTTCGGACGGTTTATGGTCAAGTGCTGGCCGTTAATATTTTAAATTATTACTTTTTCATATTCGAATTCGAGTGTTCGTGTTTTGCTGGTGAATAGTCTTTTTTTCTGATCGAGACCAGCTTAGGGTGAGCATCATAGTATTTGGTTATAAGTGATTAAATGTAATACTTATTGAAAATAAATCAAGACTGAGTTCTACCAGTTTTTTCATTGCGCCACTCACCTCCACCATTAGACTAAGTTGCCATAAGTCGCCATCCTGCACCCACCACGACGTAGACGCTTAAAACTTCGGCAGTAAAAGAATAGAGTAATATGTCCTAGTGATACATCGATGAGAGTCGGACTCATGCACGAGCGCGAGAGTTCTGAAAACGAGCAATTAAATCACGTTTGTTGTATGGGAGCCATCTCAAATATATTTAATTCTGGTTTTCAATCATTCTTGTTATTATTGGGTGTTGCATACTGGCTGTTATACAGTATGACATTGACGATTATTTGCATCACTGTTAAAAGAATAACCGATTTAGACGTTTGTATTGAAATCTTAGTAATATAATATAATAGCGGCTTATTGTCGTTATCACGGACGGTGAAAGACAGACAGACAGACAGAGAAATCTTAGTGAAAGGGTTCCTATACATTTTGGCTACGGAACCCTAAAAATATGTCAAACAATTAATTATTGTTGCTGTTTAAATACACAAAGAAGGATGTTCCTTTTGCACGAATACGTAACATACTGTTTAAATGTATAATCTTAATCGTTTTTTCAATATCTGAGAAAATCCGGGTGAGCGGTTAATATGCCTGTGTGTTATCTCTACGGCAAAAAAACAGTAAAATATCTAGACACCTAGCAACTAAAGTAGAATTCTTTATTTAAACGAATATATCGAAACAATGTTATAATCTTAAAAAGCATACATTCGCCGATAACAAGATCATACGATTTTATGTTTAAATAATAACTATAATTATTGTAAACAAATATTTCATTGATACGTTCCAGACATAATAATCGTAGTGTAATCAATGTCATACAATATTCATGCCTACTGAAGTGAAGAGGTTTCAAGTTATCTATAATGAAAAACAGCTGGCACAGAGTAAGGTTTAAATCTCAATTAAAAAAATATATATACTTATCATAAGCAACCATAGAGACAAATACTTAAAAAAGTCACCGGTTCCATGTGCCCGAGATGGGATTGTGAAAGTTTTCCGACTGCGAAATGGTAAACACATTTCTTGTGACATTTTCTAATGTGGCTCCACCGTTTAGTTACCCGAGACCTTACGACGTTAGTAAACCGACGCGGACATAATACATTATAAACGTAGTGTAATTAATCAGTGTCGTAACTACAGAGTGGCGAGCCGGCAAAATGTCACGGGCCCCTAGCTGGAAGGGGCCCCCGGTCAGAGGAGACTCTTTACTCCTGACATTTATTATTAGGGAATTAGTAAAAAAAATTGAATATCCGATGAATTTGCCACGGGCCTCAAACGGTATAGTTACGCCACTGAGTGTAATCAATATCATACCTACTGAAGTAAAGAGATTTCATGCTATCTTTAATGAAAAGAAAACAGCTGGTACAGAGTAATGCTTAAATCTTAATTTAAAAAACACATATATATATCAATGTCATAGAGGTAAATACTTAAAAAAAGTCACCAGTTCGAGGTGCCAGCTGCCCGAGTCATCAGAAAAGCTGTCTTTGGTCCATTCGTTTCCTGCAAAAATCAACTTTTGCTAGAGTCGCCATCTAGTGGAGGTGCTTTTTTAGTGCTTTCGTATTTTTTTTAATATTTCCACATTACGCATAGACAGTAAAGGCGCGCTCACTTGAATTCATACATTTTAAATTGCAGAAAAAACAAATGTACCTTGTTGAAAAAATTGTGATCAAAAGAATTATCAAACCTACTTTTGTATATATTTTTACATAGTTAAGATGAAAGATACTAGTCGTAAAATCGATCCATTTATGCCCGTTTTGACTCAACTTAGGAGTCACCTAAATGTGACACCTAAATATTTGGGCATTGTCTAAGGTGAAAATGCGTTTCACCAATGACAAGAAGCCACTTAATGACATTAAACAACCCATAAAGTTAGGACATGCATTGTGTGGCGCCTTGCGATAGGCATTTGCATAATGTGACAGATACATTTACTCTATGGCAATAACGGATGTGTCAAGGGATAAAATCAATTAAGTTAATTGGAATCAAAGTGTTTATATATTAGAATTAAGACATAAATAAGAGGATTTTTAGAATTTTTGAACTTTTTAGAAATGGGCGGTGACGACTTGGGTGCTCGTATAAATATACAACATAATTTTTCTTGTATTTATTACTCGTACCTACCAAAATATATATTTTTGTTGTTGTCTTTTTAGTCAGTAAGGTCTGAATTTCGTTGATACGATGGGCGACAAAGGGTTGGGAACATCCTACATATGACCTATTTCAACTCAATACTGTCTGTGAATAAAAACCAATAAACGACACGACTAATCATAAAATCAACATGCTTGTTTATCGAGTGTGTCATTCTTGCCCTTAATAAAAACCCTTGAAGTTCTAGTCTAGATACACTTAAAATCTTGAACGGTACTACTCTAGACATAATCAAAGATACATGATAAGTGCCGTGTCCGACTAATCTCATTAAACCACTGAAGCAAAAGCTCTGGTACAAGCGTCACAGAATATGAGGATTTCAACGGGCCTCTTTGCGTCCGACTGCATGCACAACAGCCACCTATATACCTGTAGATTGACTGCTTGACGTAGTTCTTGTAACCAGGACTTCCATCTTTCATAAAATTCATCTGTTACTTTGTTGCCCCATCCTATTTTTGTATTTCCAGATATCTTGCAAGATAATACGAGCTTTGATTATGATGAATAACAAAAACCCTAAAGGATCGAACACTGTCATACAGACCTTTAGGATATTAAGTTTAATGGGATATTTATTATTTTCTTCAAAGTTTGAAGCACTTTCCAATAGAGTATATACAGAGTCACGAACTTCTCCTCGCAGACACTTCATCAATCGTGCAATATTTTCTTGGTCACTATGGTCACCTACCTGAGTGGTGATTATTCATTGGCTAAAGAATAATGGTCATTTCTCTGGAGCTCCCGAAGAACAAGGTAGATCCTTCTTGGTGGTTTGTCGGCCATAAAATTTTCTCATTTGTACATATCAGCACTAGCCAATACGCCATAGAGAAAGTTCGAGGGCTTCCTTTGTTGCTCACAATTTCTTGCTGTGACATAATTTGTGTCCAGATTAATAAATATTGATGGTAGAGTTCTAGGGCGGCTGTGTAAGAGCACTCAGACCGTCTGTCGTTGCAGTCGTCGGCATATTCTAGAGCTTCGAGCTCTAACGTAGTTTACTAAGGTTCAATAAGGCGTTGTTCTACTTCAGCCATTTTTTTCATGGATCGCTGTTTAGTCTCTAGGATGCGCTGTGCTCGCGCCCATTGTATCGATATCTCCGATGGTGCCACTGATGACAATTTTTTCGGTGTGTCCATGATTTTGTCAACCAACTGTATACTCTTGCTCCGTGTTAACATTTTTCCATAGGTCTGATTCACGTAGGTATGTAGGACCACTTTATAAAAGAAAAACACTGAATAAAGAAAATAAAATATATATCGTTGAGACGCTATTGATAACAAGATAACAATCTGTCATCTGTCGTCAGTCTAATCATGCCTGTTGTCCTTAATTTGGCCAGTCCGTCTATGAGTAATAAGTTTATAACAGCAAGCAATCCATCATATGGTTAATTTTCATAAAATGATTTTTATTTGTAATTTCGTACAATCTCGCCTTAAGATAAATATTAATATAGCATTTATCAATGCAAACTCAATAAAGGCTGTGGATTAAATAAAAAAGTTTGTTAACAAATTCAAGAAATTACTTTTGAGTTCGGGTGAGAACTCGTTGCTTTTAACCGTCCGACTACATCATTATTTTTTTATAAATAAAAAAGGTAAAATACGTAAGAAACAAAAAGTTCTGGCGTTTTTGTGTGACGTTATACTATATAAAAACAAACAAAAAATAAAACTTCATTAAAAAATTATCTACATACCTATACAGAAAAGTCATTGAACTTTTCTAGGTATGTAAATTAATTAAAGTATATCATTATATAGTTTTAACTAGTTTTTGCAAATAAATATCATCAAAATAAGCTGTAATTAAAAATGACAAGACTACTATAATAGTAGAAATATATTTCTAAAGTTACTAGTTACTTAGTCAATTCACAAAATTGTCTTGACGATAAAATCCCATATGTAGAGATACTTTTACAACTCACTTTTTTCCGTTTCTTGTTGTAATTAAACCCTTTTTATAGGATAAATTAATAAATACGTGAGTCATTTTGTAGCAGGGAGGCAGGGGAGTAAAAATAAATAATAATAATAACCTCTCTTTGTTTCAGTACTGGTGTTATTGTCCACCACCTTCGTGCTTAGTCTATTAGGTACAATATTCTTCTGCTTTACAAATACAATCAATGATGCCATACTATCGGTAAGTTTAACATTATTATGTTTACATGATCATTTAATATTTTTATGTTTTTAAAAAGAATTTTACAATTCGTTAAAACATACGAACCTTGTAAACATATGAACTGATAATAACCATATTAAACAATCTTGACGTTAATCTATGCTCAGGCTTCCATTTTCAAAAACAAAATGTTGTTATTTTTTTTTAATTTTAGTCGAATGAGTATGTTACTTATAAATAAATACTTCTGTAGGCCGTTGGTCACAGACAAAATAAAAAAGTACAAGAAATGCTTTTTCAGCTTTGCTTTGATAAGTACATAATTACGGACTTTATATTTTTTTATTTTAATTTTTAAAATAAAATAAAAAAAAATTACAAGTAGATACAAGTCATAAAACAGTACTTAACTTTGTACAATATTTTAATAAACATTGAAAGTCGTTCCAATAGAGATGACGACAAATTTTTATTTGTTTGTCCGTCAGATAGATTTTTTAATTTTTTGCGTAATAAATAAATTGCGGCCATACATTGAATTGAAATGTTGCATAACGTCACGCTTTTGTACATTTTCTACAAAACAGTGACGTAGCCAGCAACTTTAATGTCTATTATCTAGTTATTATCCAGTTCTTGTTTAAATTGAAGCAAAAAAAACCTATCTAATATGTTTCTATTATCTGTCTGACGGACTAAATATAATTTCTTTTTACCCAGCCGTCATCCCTATAATCTCTATCGAATACTATGAATTTTCTAAGTCTTAATTAGTTGTATATCATTCAAGATTTGCGCAAAAGTGTTATAGGTCAACACTTTGATAAGTTAGACTAAATTTGACGTTTAGTTTTCTTTTAGTGTTGATAACACTCGATTACTTATTGACTTAAATCGAATTAATGATAATAATGAATTCGATTCATATAAATTTTTATGGGCTCTAAATTAATAATACTGAGATTATTAATTTAGCCGATAACTTTTATATGAATCTTAGCAATAGAACCCAATATTTGTTCGTCATAATGTCATTTGTAATGAAAATTAATTCTTAATTTGTATACAATAAGGAATAACTTTAAACCATTATCCGACCAAAAAAATTAAACATGTCTCATTTCACGTTTTGTCTTAGGTTGCTCCCTATTCATCCTATGACGTCTCATCCTACGCATTTTTTTTTCCTTACTCATCCTATTTATGTTCCTTACTCAACCCGCGACAATTTAATTCATTTTAAATTCTTTATTCATCCTATTAAACCTTATCCTTTTTTAAATACCTTAAAAAAATAAGATTTCTGTGTACGGTCTGAACAAAAATATTATCTTTTTATATCTAAGTTAATTCTTATTCAAATTTACAAATCTTCTTTTATTAACATGTTACTTATTATTACTGATTGTTTGGTAAAAAAATAATATTTTACATGTCTTTATTAAAGGCCGATAACTTGCGTCCTGATGAAGTTTTACTCTAAACCGTGCATATTTATACCACGCTTTAGATATATATATATATTTTTTTTTAATTTTGTATAGAATATGGTGATCAGAAATAACACGATCGCGTACTCAATATGGAAGAGGCCCAACGTCCAACCTCACATGAAAGTGCACGTTTTCAATTACACCAACTGGAGAGAATACAGAGACGGCTACGCCAAGAAACTTCACGTGGTAGACACAGGACCATATGTATATACGTGAGTACTGACAGTTCCTATTATTGGTACTGCATGTTTACACTTGAACGCAATCGCAATCGCAATCGATCGCCATTGCACCTTTGATGTTTCATACTCTTGATTTGGTACACTAGCGCCACTTATTCAAATAACTAATTGACATTTAGTAAATATTGAGTCTATGTTTCAAGAGTATAAGCTAAGAATCAACAGCTTGACGTGCCTCCCAAAGCACGGGGCAGATTTTAATAATAAAATGTTCGTCACCCATCCTTTAATCAGCCTTTGCGAAAGGTGCTTCATTTCCGCATCTCAGACCGATCGCACTAACCATTGCGCCAACGAGCACCAGGGCAGATAGTTAGTTATGCCTTCCGAAGCACAGAGAATCTCGAGATTACATTTTTGGTTACCCATTATATTATATACCTCGTGTGTTCAGTAGCGGCGTTAGGTTAGGGCGCGGTTGGGCGACCGCCCAGGGGCGCCGGACCAAAAGGGGCGCCGCAGGCCGCGGTGCCCCGTTTTCGTCTGGCGCTTCTTTCTGATTCTGTATAATGAGGAAATATTTAAAAAAATGAAAGCACTACAAAAGTACCTCCACTAGATGGCGACTCTAGCAAAAGTTGATTTTTGTAGGAAACCAATGGAGCAAGACAGTCATTTCCGTTCCTTCTAAGTAACATATTAAAAAAAACTGAAATTTGAAATTTTCGAAACTTAGATATCAATACAAATACGAAAAAGTACAAATAGAATATGAGTTGTTAATTGAATTTTGAAAACTAATTTACTTTTAAACATGAAAGAAAACTCGAAGGGTTGTCATGGAGAAATCAAGACCGTACCATAGCGACATCTAGTTTAATTTCGGGAACTAATGTTTTTTTTTCTAATACTTCCTCATTTCCCACAGACAAAGATTATATATATATAGTTCCTTCGCTCATTGAACAAGGCCTACTGGGTCGGCGAAAAAAGACAAGAACTATGAGGATATTTTTTTGTTTTCAAGTTGCCTCACTTTCAACATGAATTGAAAGGAAACTTAACAAGAAAAATATTATATTATGGTAAAACAGAACAACATACCGATTACCAATATGAAGATATGTATTTTATTAGGTAAGATGACGTACATTGGCGGGCATTTTCGCTCGGTCATTTAAGAAAATTTTCATTTTCGATTCGAGCATGTTTAAACGTTAAGCTGAAGCTAAAATGCTGCAATACAAACGAATGCATCGGCAGTGGAGCCTCTGTCTGCGAGTCAGATGGAATAGCTACTCAAGAGATTGTGGATGAAAAATCCCGTAGTGAGGGAGCAAGTAGTGCTACGATTACAGATGCTGATCAGGATAAATCTGTTATTGATGTACAACAAATACATGTATTAGATGATGTTGATACTGTTGTCCCGAATATAGCGGATCCAGCTACTTAGCCACTTATTCGAAATAGCAAAATAATTGATCACATAATAAGTAGTGGCCCACTGCAAACTCACTGTCACAAAATTACAACAATTACACAAAGTTATACATAATAATTATGTGACACCCTGTTAGGGTGTTACAAGGGTAAAGAGTCTGGACCCAATTTCAATAATTAACATGTTATTTTAACATCTTATATACTTTAAGTATTAGGGAATGTGTAGTATAGACACAGTATAAGTATGACACAGTATAAGTATGACACAGTATAGAAACTAAGCCTATTTGATAAAATAAATACCTACGCTCCATTGAAACCATAGGGTTACCATTTTGAATGTTTTAGACATTGTTTCTTTTACAAAATATAAAAGGAGTTCTGACATTATTAATCAATCGAATTGTAATAACTAATTAACAAACAAAAAAATATATACATACACATTTGTTCAGACGGTGATATCTACTTATATTATTCTAAATCACCACAAGATATAGAATAACATATGCGAAAACTGGGCAGATTTGGAAATATAGCATACGTACAGGTCGAATTGATAACCTTCATTTCTTGAAGTCGGTTAAAAATCAGTTAATCTCAGCAAAAGCCGATAGTTTATCATACGAGATATAGTTCAATATTGACACAACTTGTAAATCTTTCTTTGGCATAACCTTGTACAAGTTTTGACGGACACATAGCCGAAGAGCGCACGAAACAAAAAAATAAAAAAAATAAACGTCCAACGTTTTGTGCTCTCTTCGGATCGGAGGCGTGGTAGGTAGGCACTGCATTTAGGTGGCGCGCTCATGAGCGGCTTTTTGGGTGTTTATCAAGCAATTTCGGGTGGGACCGTACTATGTTTCAACCCGAAAATATGCATGATACTGAAACGGGTATTTAAAAAAAACATCTAAATCTAAAAAAAACTTATTTTTTATTTCACATAAGTTCCTTAATCTTTCCTTCATTTTTTAAATAAAAACGATCGCGGAACGTGTAACGTCACCCTTCGTCTCGACGCGATACGCGTTACTGAGCGTCCTGTTAGGTCCACTTAGGCGGCTCGTCGGTGAGCGTGTTTATGTGTGCGTGCGATTTCGAACGCTTGTAGGCAGTTTCACCACTGTCTACTTATATTTACACTGTGGTATAGATATCAAAATTAATCTGTACTTACCTAATGATGTGATCCGTCAAAAATGAAACAGCTACTTACACACTATTTATATGTCTATTTTTTAAATAAAACTAATGTCACTCCATAGTTGGAACAAGAGCATCGTAACGAAGCGATAAAAGTTTGATTACTGTGTTTGTTTGTTTTAAATAATCAAATAATTGTTTTAAGAGCGTCCACTTATGACAAGCATGAAGATGATTGTTGATTGTGTTCTGCTTCGTCAAAAATTCAAAGATAGATCTCGGGAATCCCCGATTATAGAAAAACACATTGTTTCTGTATGGTCGGAAAGTCGGGGATTCCCGAGAAATTAAACCGATTGAACACTACGTTCCATTCTAATGGTGTCAACTTAACAATCTACCTAAATTTAGGGAAAATTACAAGTAAGTAAGCCGGGTCGGCGAAAAAAAGTCAAGTAACTAATTTATAGTATGTGGTAGTAATTGAATTGCAGTTAGGGGGCGCCGAAGAAATTTCGCCCAAGGCGCTAGTAGTGCTAAAACCGGCACTGCGTGTGTTCATAAGTTTTGAGACAAACTTTTTACTGAAAATTTATATATTAATATTGTAAAGTGGACTATTATGAAGATAAAAAGGACCGATTTTAAAAATTCTGTCACTCACGGGTAGCTACAACGCACGCGGGTGACGACATAGGCTATAATTTAAGCGGGCGAAGTCGCGGGAAAACAGCTAGTTTATAATAATCCTATTAATATTATAAATGTGAAAGTTTCTTTGTTTGGATGTTTGTCCGTCAATCACGCGGAAACTACTGAACGGAATTTGATGAAATTTGGTATACAGATAGGGTATTAGCTGACTTAGAATATAGGATACTTTTTTTCCTATGGTCCATGCGGGCGAAGCCGCTGGCGAAAGTTAGTAATAATATAAAGTGCTATTCCAACCCTGCTTTGGTATACAAAAAAAATACCGGACATTTTGAACACGAGGAGCGAAAGCTAAAAGCCATAGTAAAAATGTTAATTCGTTTTATAAGCAGTTTTCGATGAAATTGACCTTCAGAAATTCTGTCATAAATATTTCCAAACAACATGATTGTCGAAATATCGATAATAGATAAATTAACGATGTAGAGTCACCATGAGTTTAGGAAAATTGAGATATAAACATCTGCTTGAAAAAATTATAAATGCCTTTTAACCTTTCCATGTCATGAAAACTTTCATTGCAATTGCTACGATCAATTTTTGCTCTAAAAAGACTAAAAAAAAGGACCGACTTTAAACTTAAAAAGGGTGAAAAATAATACTTATCTCAAAAGCGCCCGCAAGAAGAGAAGTCGGTCCCATTTTTTTAAAGATAAATCTATCTTTCTAAAAATCAATTGTGTTCGTTTGTCACGTTAAAACTCAAGAACGTGTGGACCGATTTAGTTGATATTGGTTTTAAAATATTTGTAATAGTCCAGAGAAGGTTAAAACGGTGAGAGATGTACTTCGACACCGGATTATTTTATTATAATTTCTATAAACAAAATTAGTTTTATACGTATTTTCAAATCGTTATACAATAATTTAAGCTCACACTCTAATACGAAATAAAATATTAAGTCGTTTCGTTTAGTTTTTTCCAGAAACACGCAAATGTATAGCTACCATACATCCTAGTTAATATTATGAACGTTTGCCAAAATTATGTAGTTTATTGTGCCCATAAACACTCAATAAGTGAAGATACTGATGCTTTGAACGCATAGTGCGATAAGAGGGTGTGCGTCAATTTATTAACTTGTTACTAAATTCATTGTTTACGTTGTTTACACTGGTGCCAATTCTTCTTTTTCACTCTGTAAACTAAAATTTTTTAGCTTCTTGTTCATTTAAGAAAGAAAGAAAGAAAGCAAGAAAGAAATATACGTACATAGAAATATAGTTATATACTCTATTAAGGCTATTCTAATATCTAATATTTGTCAAATAAAAATCATTAAACATAAAAATCAACAACAGAAACATAAATATCAATAATTTGCTCGATAGAAAAAATCGCAAAGTTGACTTTAAATAGGTTTTTTGGATCCATTTTACAACTAATATATTGCATCTTAACTATTATAAAAAAATAGGTTTTGATATAATCTAAAATATACAAAAGAATTTTTTCGCGAATTCGTCTTTAATCTCGGTGCATATTTGTATGGGAACGTAAGCGGAAATAAAAGTTTACGTAAATAAAAAAAAGTTTACTTCTTTTAACTTAGTTGATTTCACAATTGAAGACGCAGGTTAACAGGAATAAACATAAATGTAGTCTAGGTTGTGCAACAGAATTGAAGGAGAGCGCACCTCATACTGAAAACTGTTGATTAAATGTTGATTAGATTTAAAAAACCTCAGAACTACGTCAACACTCTTAAATTTGGTGAAAA